CACTGGGAAGGTACGGACCCTGACTCCCAGGCACACTGAGTTCCCCTGTATCCCTCTACCAGATGCTGTGGGCTCTCCTTCCAGTCTCTGCTGTTCAGGGTTTGGGATCACTGTGTGGGGATTCAAACCCACATTCCCAAGGGGAGGGAGCTTTACAGCCAATATTACTGGGCCTTTCAGCCCAGCACCAGCTCCAGAGGGGCTCCCTTCCCATGACTCCCCTGCTCTTACCGGTCTCTACATTGTTTCTTCAGTGCTCCTTGGACAGAATATGTCCTATCAGCTACTGTTCTCTAGTTTTTCAAAGCTGACCATGCAGTACTTTGGCTGTAAATCCAGGCTGTGGCTGGGAGCAAGGCGTTCAGCTCCTGATACCCTGCAGCCATCTTGCCCCACTTCTGAGATTAAGCAGATTACTTCCACCAGCATTGAGCCAGGAGTTGAGGATGAAGTCACCATTGCAGATGCTTAAATTGGCCTTTTTAAATCAATTTGTTGTATGTGTTTTTTTTTTTAATTGATGAAAAAAATAGCAAAATGAGATGTCCAAATAGCAAAAGGAGATGCCAATAAAAATAAAGTCAATTTATATCACAGAACTACAGAAATAACTAGGAATTGAAGGTGGTACAAAATAAGGGGCTGAAAAAGGCAGACTGTTGGAGGGAAGAGGGATATATAAGGACACCTAGATCCCTTCCACCATACCCTGAAGTCAGCAAATAGCCTACCTGTCACTGGGGCAGAAGAGTTTATTCTGCAGAAAAATGTAACCAGAGAGACAAAACAAACAGCCCCTCAAAAAACCTGACGACACCGCACACGATGGAAGGCAGAGGAGATGTGCCAAGGAGCTCACAAAGGAGAAGGGAGCCAGACTGGCTGGGCCTGAGCCTGGAAGTTACACTTAACCAGGGTTAGGCCTGGAATTCACAGTTTTAGACACCCTAGGAGATGGCCAAATCCCCACCAAGGGATTAACATTCCCTACCCCACCCCCCCTTTCCCAAGGAGGGAGGAAGGACAGGCTTTCCAGCCTCCCACTGGTCTGTTCTCTGCAGACTGGGGCAGGGAGGAAGAACCAGTAAGGGGGAAATTCCTTTGCTGGGCATCTGCACAGTAGAAACCAAGATGGCAACCATAAAAGGGAGGCATCTGGGGAAAGAACTGGATTGGATAAGGGACACAAAACCCCAAAAGATGGAGGAAAGGGATTGTATAGGGAAAATGCCCAGCACAAACTCACAAAGAGCCAGGAAAGAGATTGCTTAGTTTGAAAGAAAACTGCCCTGGCTGGGTAGCTCAGCTGGTTAGAGCATCGTCCCCATACACCAAGGTTGCAGGTTTTGATCCCCACTCAGGGCACATACAGCATCAACCAATGAATGTGTAAATAAGTGGAACAACAACCCCCCCCTCTTCTCTTGCTCTAAAATCAATCAATAAAAAAACAAAACAACAACAAAGAAAACTTACCCTTCCCAATCCCGAGGTAATATAAAGCTTAACAAAAGCAGTCTCGGTAGCAAGCGTCCGCCCATTCATTTGCCTGTTCGTGCATGTTCTCTCTCTGCAGCTGCCCTGTGAGCCCAAGCTTGGGTGGGCTGCAAGTGGGGGCCTAGGTGTGCAAGTGAGGTGCCAGCCAGAGTGCAGCCGGGAACAGAGACTAAGCTAGCCAGATGGGGACGGACACTGAGTTGGACTAAGCTTTGTTAAGGACTAAACTGAACCATGGCAGCTTTGTATGCCCTGCTGATGCCAGGTAATGGCACAACATCTCTGGACTCTGGCCCTTCTTCTGGGCTTGGTGAAGACAAAGCTGGACTTCTTCCACAGCGGGACGGAGCCGAACCATCTGCGCGTGAGTGAGACACCGGACATCTGGGGACAGTCCTTTGTGTTTGCTCCAGCCTCACTCAATCTTACACGTCATCCATCCACGTGTGGGTCCCTGAAATGCTTGCTTGTGACTCTGTGGAAGAACCCCATTTCCACTGGCAACACAGTGAGGGTGAGGAACTGAGATCCACTCCCCACCGGAGCCCCCTTAAGCCACTTTGCTCCAAAGATGTGACTCCACCCATCCGCACACCAGCAGGAAGTGTCCCACTGAGAAATTTAGAGACGAGACCAACAGACACTGATACTGGGGAGCTCTCCAATAAAAAAGCAACTCCCACCCAGTCACCCCAGGGGTTGGTTCACAAGGCCCAGTCATCACAGTTCCAGGAGATTTTCAAAAGAAAGTCTCCACAGTGAAAGGCAGTTCAAACAAGTCAACATGGGAACCAAGGAAACATACAGATGCAGGGAGCAAAGAATAATTTGACCCACTCTGAGAGAAAAAAACACTGCAGCCATGAAATGAGATTAGGAGGCTATAAGGAATTGGAAAGCTCTTATGAATTATAGCTAAAATAAAAAAAAAAAAAACTATATTACAAAGACCAGCTGGATGTAGAATTGAGAAAACCTCTCAGAGAGCAGAACAAAGTATGTTCAAAGGAATGAACAGAAGTAAAAAGAAAGATCAATCAATCCAAGAAGCCCACAGCCAACAAATCGGATTTCCAGAAAGAAAGCAAAAGGCAGACAAAGAAGAAACTATCAAGGAGATTGTACAATTCCTAGAACAAAAGAACATGATTCTCTAGATTAAAGGAGTCTGTAAGACTGCAGCACAATGAATAAAAACCTCCAAGAGTCACTCTTGTGAAATTTCAGAAGATTTTACATAAGATCCTAAAAGCCAAAGCAACAGCAGATCCCATTCAGACTGAGAATCAAATGGCACTGGACTTCTCCACAGCGATGATGAAACCCTCTGGGAATTTTCCTGTTTCTCCACACCGCCCACTCATCATCTCACATGCCCCCTCTGCATTTTCCCTGACTCCGGAGTTATGGCCTTAACCTGAGGCGCTCTGGCTTCCACCCCAGGTTCTGTGCTCCGGCACTAGGATGTCTTCAGGCTCATCTCTGAGAACGCCCAGGGTGCACCATAGCTCATTGGTCCACTGTCGTCTTTGCTGCACTGTGATTGGTAGTTCGAGCCTCTCTAAGAATATGTTTCAAATCTCTGCGCCTCCTCCCTTCCGCAAGGGGAAATGCATATCCTGAACATTTTCACAGCAGAGGCCATCTGACATTTTATGGTACTTTTATAAAAACAAACAAAACAAAAAAAACAACTTGTGGCACATTCTTGCTGGGTTGGTATTTTCGTTTTTGGAAGGACTTAGTGTCGTCTGCAAATGTGGGAAGTGTATCATGCGTTCTTTTCTTCATGACATTTGTAAAGCCACTAAAAAAAACAAAGTCAACTGTTTATTTTTATGTGATTCTCCTTCTTGTATGTTTCATACACAGGCTATGTTTATGACCTATTTCTGATCAATAACAAAAGTGTGCCCTGACCGACTTGGAGTGCCTGGTGTTGACTCATCTAAATAAATTATATTAGTTTCTCCTTAAATATCTTTTATATTGCTCAATGTTAACTGGCAAGTCAAGAATGACTTCCTCTTTCTAAATGTCTTCCTAATTTTTTAAATGTGTTAACAGCTTCTGTAACAAGCCCGTCCTTTATTATCAACCCTCCTCCATGCGGCTGAGAAAATCCACAGTGCCCCACGGTCAGTGCCCCGACCCTCCCCCCACCTCTGCACAGCAGGCACAGAGGCCTCCGCTCAGCTATGTTTGAAGTTATGGCTTACATATTTTGACAAATGATTTCTTAATTTTAGATTGAGGTTCTTTAAAATCTGAGACAAGCATCATCCTGACTAAATGACGATATAAGCACATGGGTTTTGCATATCAGGCAACTCTAGTTAATGCCAACCCCCTAAAAATATATCCATAAATCAGTCCTGCATTGTCCAAGTGACGAGATTCACTGAGGTTCAGTTTGAATGTGTTCTGATGATTCAGAGCTCGTACTGAACCCACCAAACTCCCACACAGGCATACAATCGTCAGAGCAGGTAGCATTCCACAGTCAGGCCTGAACACCCCGATCTGACACCCAGGCACCCTGCAGCCTGTACCTGTGAGTCTTTCCATTCCTGCCTCTGCTCCATCTCTGCCATGATTCTCCACCCAGACCAGAAGCATCCTTGCTTCTTTGTGCCTGAACACAGTGTCCAGTAACGTACAGCATCGGTCATTGTTATACTGTGCATACCGTTTGCCCAAATAGATGGTGGGTGCCATGTCTCCCATCTCCCTGAAACTCTATCATTCAATAACTATTTCGAAAAAGTGGCAAAAAGTAAAAATGTTTATAGTACCTAATGTATCTACTCACAGACTTTCCTTTTCCTTTGTTGTAAACGAGCATCTAGTTGACCATGTCTGAATTATGTACTAACACATTCATTAGCAAGTGTGAACAATGCCTCATTATGATCCTCAGGAAAGAATTGGGAAATCCACAGTTGGAAGGGATTTTAGGGCAGTTGCTTTGTACTTCTTCCCATAAAATCTTGGGATTAATTTTTCCCCTGTCCTCCTACCTTTATTTCCCAGAGCCTAGGAGGTAATTTAGGAAAGGTGGAAACCCAGCGGAAACACTGAGAATGCCAGTAGTCAAGCACAAGAGAAACAGGTGCTTTCCCTTCCGTTTGGTAATGAAGAAAAGAGTCTTCCGTTCACCAAGAAAAAAGTTAAGGTAGCAGCCGCAGGCTTTGCCACAGGAAAGAAACACTAAAACCCAGGCAAAAAGATTTCCCCAACTGGTGATTTAGCAGCAGTAAAATGTTGAGAATGCTTTCTCAACTTAGCTGGAAAAGCTCAGGGAGGAACAGAGCATAAAACCCTGGGAGACTGTTGGGAATGTGCCCAAGAAAATCACACAACAGGTAAAATGAGGTTTGTCAGTCACCCCACTGGTTTCAGGGACACACTGCGCTCTCTGCTGCCTCCAGGAAATGAGTCACTCCTTGCAGAACCTGTCACAGGGCAAGTTTAATCAGCCTCCTAGAAGCCTAGGAGAAAGCATCACTATGTCCTCCCACAAAAGATGGGCCACCTGAAGCATCCAAGCTGGAGGGAGAGCTGTGAGCTACAGGGGTGAGGAGAGAGCTCGGGTTGGCATCCATGGGAGGGAGGTGAAGAGACACCCAGGGGAGAGCGAAGTGAAGCCTATTGAGCGGCCTGTGGTGATCCGGTTCCAGAAGAGGTGGTCACTAAAGTCCAAGTCTCATAGAACCACATGTGACAGGCTCAGGGACTTCCGTCTGCTTCTACTCCTCGCTGCCAGGCTCCTCATCGCTGTCCTCCCCGAGTGGAAACGCCCTCGTGGCCTTCTGGACTGCATGCCTCCGCGTCTCCAGGGGGCAGTCCTGGCTCAGAACTGCCTGCAGTGGGAGGCAGGGACAGAAAGCACTGCATACCTTTCCTCAGTCTCCTCTTCCCTTCCCGGCTAGCTCATCCAAGTCTAGGGTTGCTCAGGAAAGACTCCAGGGACAAGCAAAGGCTGGTCTTTCTGTTTTATGTGCGTGTACATGCCTCCCAAGGAACCTGCCTGTAGCAACCCTAGGCAAGACACACATCTGATAGCTTGTAACCGAATCCTTACGGGGCAGTGCAGGCTCCAGCTGAAATCGGCACCACCCCCATCAGACCTTCCTTTCTTCTACTGTTCCTTTGAGCAGCCACTCATCCACCCCTAACCCACCCACACCCTCAGGAGCTCATGCTGCAATACGAGGAAAGGATCATGTTAACTAAAATCATATGTTGTGGTTCTCTCCCCTGAGTTTTTGTTTGTTTTTAATTAAATTTTTTTTTTTTTTAGAGGGAGAGGGAGGAGAGATAGAAACATCAATGAGAAAGAAGATCGATTGGCCACCTCCTGCATCTCCCGCCCCCCCCCCCCCCCCCCCCCGGGGTTTGGCCCACAACCTGGGCATATGCCCTGACTGGGAATTGAACTGTTGACCTCTTGGTGCATGAGTCAACGCTCAACCACTGAGCCACACCGGCTGGGCGAGGTTTTGGTATTTTAAGAGAAGACCTGGTAAGGATCATGGTAGGCAAGAAGGAAGGAATGAATGAATTCATGAACCCAGTGGAATTCTATCCATTTTAGGGAGATAATTTGGTAATACATGCTTTGCTAGTAGCTACAACAACTACACAATGCCTTTGATGGTCCCTGCTCCCAACTCTTTACAAACTTCCCATTTTCCTTGTTTACTTAAAACCCTGTTTAACTGCCTGCTGTAAGAGAGGAAGTGGTTATGTAGAGAGTGGAACATAAGGAAATCCACAGAGAAAAGATAAAGATGAAAGGGGACCAGAAAACATAGCAAAGCAGAGTCAATTGAAGAGGGGGAAATAAGAGCACAGAATGAAAAGGAATGGGAGAGACATGGAAAGGAATCTAGATTTTTTTAAGCAGTAGTCCAAGCCCCTTACAAGCTTCTCCTCTTGGGCTGGGGGACTCCTCAGGTAGTAGCAGAGAGGGGCATAGATGATGTTGATGACTCCGATGATGACCATGAGCCAGGGAAAACCAATAGCACGCACAATGACACCCCCAGTGGATGGGCCTGTGAGAAAAAAATCAAAGTCACCAGTGTTTATTGGCCTTGATCACACAGAAGACACCACAGGAGGGTTAGCGAGTGATCTAGAGGATGCCCCAGGGTCAGATATCTTCAGAACCTTGGGAGTATCAGCCTCCCAGCTCCACTTCCAGCTGGTAAACAGGTCTGGGAACTGGACACCAGGTCTCAGGTGCTCTCCTCTCTCCCACCAACATACCTATAGCAAAGCCCATGCAAAAAGCCACATCAGCGATGGCGTACACAGTTCCATACACGGAGGTGTGGCGCAGGTCCACCAGGTGTCCCATGATGGGCATCAGAGAGGAATCCACCATGCCTGTGGCCAGAGCAAACAGGGCACCTTTAGTCAGCAACACCCCCAGTCCCTTCCCTGTTGTGCATCTTTCCTCTCCTCCTCCCTTTTGTCCACTGCCTTAGTCTGCTGTCCCTCTCCTCAATGTGACACCCATTACAGGTAGGAAGATGACCCCATCTCTCCCACCCCTGCCAGCTGTCCTCATCCTTCTGCCTTTCCATGAACCTCCTCTGGTCTGACCCAAAGCCAACATTCGGGGTCTTCTTACTTCCTTTAAGGGCACCTCTTACCTATGGCAAAGCCAAGGCCTGCATTGGGACCGATGAGGCCAACAATGTTACGAGCCAGAGGAACCTGCAGTAGGAAAGACGGGAGGGGTTCACCCGGAGTCCAGCTGGGCCACGTGGGGGCAGCACAGCAGCACAGCAGCACAGCATTCTCACACCAAGTGCACGCAGTGTTCTTGTGCCACGTACATGACCTGTTTGGATTCCCACACCTCCTTATGAAGAAACTCTTTACTCCATGTTCAAGATATAAAAACTAGATTGGTGCTGTTCGGTCAAATGCCCTGTCCAAAGTTACCGAGCTAATTAGTGGCCAGATCAAGTTTAAATCTCAGATTTAACTGCATTATATCATAACAATGGTCCTTTTCTGTTGCATGGACTCTCCCTCCCCATCATCCAGCCCCTCCACCCAGACACGCACTTCTGGCCTTACTCTTCACTGAACGCAGTTCCTCTCATTTCAAAGAGCAACATCGTCCAAAGGTCTAGGTTAAGTCTTAACTTGGTAGCCACTGGAGCAAGAAACCAAGCACGAATTACCCATAAGCTAGAGGGCAGGTGGCAGGCCTGGTGCCACATCAGCAGCTCATTCACTCACCCTCCCCGCACCCACAGAGGCCTTCCTTCCCTCTCCGCTGGTTCCTTACTTTCCTCCCTGGGCATTTGTCACCCAAACTTGCTATCCCAATACTACTCACCCATTCAGAGGTTTAATGTACCATTTAGATGTTAGAGGCTGATAATGGTTTTGGGGAAGATTCCTCAAAGGGTACTTCTATTTCATTAATAGTATGGCTAAGATTCACTGGGGCTCACTGTATGCCAGACACTGCTGTGGTCTATGTGGACTATCTTGGCGACCCTGTGTGCTTATGCTCTCCATTACGGAGAGGAGAAATAGGCTTAGAAAGCTTGAAGGGGGCTCTTGAAAATGGAAATGCCCCCCTCTCTCTTTTTTATTCTTCTTTTTCTATCTAAGATTCTTGTGCTGGAGGCTGATGCACAGGTGATGGTTCACCTCATGGCTTATGGGTTTTGTCAGGGTGGGATGAACAAATGAAGTCATAAAATGTGCCATCTTGCTGGCCCCAGAAACAGATACCAGCATGGATTGCTTCATATGCCCAAACATGGAGCCTCAGACCTCGAACCCTAGCCCTCCCACTGCCCTCTGCCTCTCCCTCCTTACCTCTCTTCAATGGGGTGTCTGGTGGCATCTCTCCCAAGGCTGAATTCCTACTTATGCAGAAATGGTCTTTCTGACAGTCCTTGCCAAGTCAACCCTCCACTCATTTTAAAGAAAAGTGGTGTTTAAATGTCTGGGTCTCTCTCTCTCTCTCTCAACGAAACCTTATTATACTTACACAAAGCAAGCTGGCACCTACTACCACCATGCCAATCAGGGAGCAAAGCCACCTGAAAAGAGAGAGCTGTCATTACATGGCGCCAAAGGGAGCCATCCTTTCCACCTGACGCCCCATCACTGCGCGCCGGCTGGTCGTACCGCTCCTGACTCCAGGAGCCCCGTAGGACTTCAGAAGATGAACGCAGCTCTAGGTGACCAGTCTGAACCAGGCGAGCCCTTTCTGTCCTTCGCTTCCCCCATCTCTTCCCTGGCTCCATACCTCTCCCCACAGTGGAAGCACAGGAGGCGCAGTGGGAACTATTTTTCCTTCCCTTAGAAGAAGAACCAGCTGACTGAGAAGGTAATGCTCAAACTCAATTCTTGCTGTTTCCCAATTCGGACAACCTCTCCCCTATCCACATTTTAGTTGGTCTCAGAAACCACAACAACAAAATAACAAACTTCTGCCCTGGCTGGTTTGGCTCAGCAGTTAGAGCCTGCGGTCCAGAGAGACCCGGGTTCAGTTCCCGCTAAGGGCACGTACCTCAGTTGCAGTTTGTCCCCGGCCCTGGTTGGGTCGTGTGGGTGGCAACCACTCGATGTGTCCCTTTCACATCAATGTTTCTCTCTCTCTCCTCCTCCTACTCTATCTGAACAAAAAAATGGAAGAAATGTCCTCGGGTGAGGATAAAAAAAATAAATAACAAACTTCTTTCATTCTCTGATCTCCTACAGCAGCTGTTTCCAAACTTAGTTTTAAAATCGTTACGCTGAACTACAAATATAAAATAAAGCTGTTCTCACCGTAGTGGAGGAACAGAATCCAGACTCATACCTCTTAGCCCCCAACCCTTGGTGGCCTCATGGGCTCCATGAAACACAGCGTGGTACCCACTGCACCCATAGTAACGCTCTTTTTCATACCTGTTCTCTGTGGGGTTATTTTATCTCTTCAGCTGGACACTGAACATCTGGAAAGTAAAGGCTGTCCCTCCAATATCCACTGCCTCTTCCATAGCAACCAGCTCAGGACAATCCTTCCTCCTCACGGCCCTCACCACCTAGCCACCGCCAGGCTCCCAGTGGGCAGTGCGTGCCTGTGTGTATTTGTGCTAAACTTGCAACCTCAGAGACGCTGCTCATCATCCCAGGTGCAGGGACAAACCTCAGACGGCCCTCCTATCTAACATTCCTCCTGCTCTTCCCACAGCCCCAGTCTACGTACCGACCCATCTTGTTGGCCAACACACCAAAGAGGTTGGTGCCAATGAGGTAGGACACGCTGGCAGGCAGGAAAGCTAGACCTGTAGAGAGACACAGGCCCGCACTTCAGCACATCTTGTTTACTCTAAAACACCCCATTTCCTACAAGACAGTGAAGCCCCCTATTACCTCCAAGGACTGCAAGCCAGGGTGTTCTGTGGGTTGGAGATGCCTGTGCAAACCCAGAGCAGATGACATAGGGTCCCACGCCTCTGTTTCCTCAGGGGCACAACTCTGTTTAGCTTTAATACATTTAACGTACTTCCAGCTCCCCACTTAGACTCTTGAAAGACAGCCCTAATGAGCCATTCTCATGTATAAAATACCCTTGCTTATCTGCCTAAGAACATGAGCTTTAGAGAAAGACATATATACTTCCTGGGAGGTAAAATCCCTGCCTTGCTATTTACCTGCCCTTCGATTGCTTAGGTCCTGATGTTGGATACGTTACTAAACCTTTCTGAGCTTTCTTACACTGAGAAGCAAATTAGATAACGTAGGTCAAGTATTTTGTAGACTGAAGGCCTGGTTACGTTGCTTCTGTGACAGTAGTCAGGCACTCAGGAGCATAGGCTGTGGAGCCCCACAGTTCTGGGTTCTCTCCGTGGCTTGGCCAACTGCTAGCTCTGGGACCTTGGGCGATTTATTTACCCTCTCTGAATCTCAGTCATCTATTCATTCATTCAGTACTTTTTTTTTTATCATCACCTGAGGATATTTTTCTGTTTATCTTCAGATAGAGTAGGAAGAGGGGAGAGAGAGAGAGATGGAGAGAAACATTGATGGGACAGAGACAGAGTGACTGGTTGCCTCCTGCATGACCCCAACCAGGGCTGGGGATGAACCACAACCGAGGTACGTGCCCTTGACCGGAATCAAACCCATGACTCCTTGGTCCGTGGGCCGATGCTCTAACGACTAAGCCAAACCGGCCAGGGCTCATTTAGTACTTTTAATGAGCTTTTAGTATATGCCAAGTTTTCTCGAGGCTAGGAATAGAGGGGTGAATAAGACAGAGGAAATCCTAGTCCTCAGGGAGCTTATACTCAAGGGGCGGGAGACAGACAATAAATAAGTACATAAATGAAAAAGATAATTTTGAAAAACGGTAAGTTTTGTGAAGAAAACTTAACGTGACAGAATGACCAGGAATAGGGCTAACTTAGATTCGGGGGTCAGGGAGGGCTCCTTTGAGAAGGCGACATTTAAACTGAAACTACAATAACCAAAAGGAAGTTTTTAAACAGGAAAACAAAACAAAGAAAAACCCCCAAAACACCACTCAATGCAAACACTTAAAGAAGAAACGACTTAGTCTGTTCTAGAAGAGTGGCTTCAGGACAAGAGTGGACGCCCAGGACTGGCTGCAGAACCCAGAGGGAAGCGGTGGTGCCTCAGTGCAAGGCCGCTGTGCGGAGAGGTGAGTGCGTGGAGGTTTGCAGGCAGTCAGTGGAGTTTCCTGTTGGACTGGGCACAGGCACAGTGGGAGAGGAGGAAGGAGAGAAATCAAGGGTGACTCAGGTGTTTGTCTTAATGAACTGGGTGGCTGGAGACAGATGAAGGAAGAGCTTGGAAGGATCCTGAAAGGTTTGAAAGACTCACTGGATGTCCAACTGGAGACAGCAGGCAGCTGGGCACACGGGTACAAATGTTCAACTAACCGGTTTATGTGTGGTTCTTACAGCCATAGGTATGGCTGGGCTCACCCACCCAGATCAGGTAGGAAAGAGCAGAGACCCAAGGTATGAGACTCTGAGGTCTCCTACCTTTAAAAGTTAGCAGAGCCCTGGCTGGTTTGGCTCAGTGGTTAGAGCGCCGGCCTGCGGTCCAAAGAGACCCGGGTTTGGTTCCCGCTAAGGGCACATACCTCAGTTGCAGTTTGTCCCCAGCCCTGGTTGGTCATGCAGGTGGCAGCCACTTGATGTGGCCCTTTCACATCGATGTCTCTCTCTCTCTCTCTCTCTCTTCCTCTCCCTCCCTCCCACTCTATCTGAACCAAAAATGGGAAAAAATGTCCTCGGGTGAGGATAAAAAATAAATAAATAAAAGTTAGCAGAGAGGGAGGATATAGGAAAGGGGAAGAGGATAAGCCAATGGAGTAGGTGAGAGGGCACAGAATCCAGAAGAAAGGGGTGGTAAAAAAGGAGTCTGGAGTTGACGCTTCATCCATAGAGAGAAGGCAGGGATGTGGGCACAGGCGCAGGCGAGTGAGCGTGCTTAGTGATGGAAACATGGGAGCTCCCTTCTCATTTCGTCTATCTCCTCAATGACTAGGAATTGAGAATGAAGGGATGAGGCTGAATAAGAGGTCTGAATGGAGAAGTGTAAAATAATCATTTTGGGAAGTTGGAAGAAGAACATAACTAGGGGACTTAGAGAAAGCTTGTTGGACAGTGTAAAAACTGACCTTAGTCAACTATAATTAAAAATAACTTTTAAAAAAAGATTATAATGGCCATAAGTCTAAGGTGAGACCAACAGCATGGTTGTGTGTTTTTCTACAGCCTCATTCCACTGCTGTGTGAAGACAAGGAGCTGGCAACCAGACAGGCATAACCAGAGTCTAGGCTTTGCCAGGAGCCAACCCAAGGGAAGAGTCGGCAGAGGAATACCAGTGCTTTTAAAGGAGTGGCATGATGGGATCCAAGCTGGGTAAGGACAGAAGTGGAGATATGAGTAGTGATAGGAACAGAACAAGAACTGAGGCCAACAGTGATCTCAAAGTGGCCGAAATTTGGGGTATTAGAATACCTGAGCAGGGAATATGTGAGGTGATAACTGGACTGCTCAGAACGAAGATTTCAGAGGTGATACAATTAACAAGGCTGTGAAGTCATGATTAAATGAAGGGTTAATTGGTTAAGGTGGAGAGGAGAAAAAGATCATTGCAACAGAGCAGATTAAGGAATAGGCCTGGATATTGACATCACAAAAAATGACAATAGACGTGAAAAGGGAAACAAGCAGGTACTGACAGCTTTAATGAATGAGAAGGAGTTACTAAGGGGTCAGTGGGTGGTCGCGATGAAGAGGGGTGGGTGGTATAATTTAACAACATGATCTTCAAAGGAGGTGGGGTCTTTGAAGGAGAAAGAAGAAATAATTCAGAAGCAGCAAAGGAGGAACATGGACTTCCACCACAAGGGCTGCATGAAACGGTGTTCTCCAGAAATGAAGGGCATGTACAGAGAAGAGGCTGAGGGCACCGGGACCTTGCCCATGACAGGAAGTTTCGTAAGGCCCAGGGTTTGGGAGGGTAATAGGAAACTGGGTCAGAATAAGAAACCTCTGAACTGTGGAGATAATAGTAATTCCTACTAGATAGGCTGGCTGTGAGGCTTAAAAGACATGATGCGTAGCTCCTGGCACAGATTAAGTACCCTCTGAGCACTGGCCTTAATTAGTATCATCTGATAAGAAACAGGGTCAGGACTTGGACCTGTCCTTCTCACTCCAACTCCAGGTGTTCCCGCCACCCACACACCCAGGGTGGCAGCCAGATGGCTCTGGTACAAGGACCGCTGGGGTGTGAGGCTCCGTGCATCTCCCCAGCCTCTCTGCCTCTGCGCTGAGGGAAAACTGCTGCCTACAGAAACTGTCCCGACGACTGCAGCTAAGTCCAAAGTCAACAGTTCACCAGGGACGGGCTCATGGCTTGTTTGCTTTTAATATTCTCTCGTACAGACGGAAGTGAAGTGTACTTTATTGGATCTGTCTAGTCAACCTGCACGTGTGGCGATCTGTTTCACCCTGTATGCTTTTGTTTATGTTTAATTGCTTTAAAAAAATTAGAAGTTGTAACTTCTCAACTGTTCACCTGATTATCTGGAAACAAGTTCCTCTAGGAACCCTACTAGCCTCCTAGATCATCCTCCGAATGTCATTTTAAATGATGTGAAACTTTCTGAATGAGATTTTCCTCAGAGTGGTTTGTTCTTTGGGACCTGGGAATAGCTTGCATTTCAGGGGCGCATTGTGCAGAACAGGTGTTCCAGACTGTATGTCCACAGACACATGTATTTTTCACAGCACATCTTCAAGGGGTGCGGATTATATACAGTTGTGATTGTCAAAGTGATTTAAACAATTAAGAAAATAATAATGATTTTAATTTACTGAGTATATCCCATATCCCATGCACAGTGCTAATCCTTTTAGAATTCATAGATCCATTTAATTCTGAAAACAACTCTGAAGAGAAGCTCGGTTTTTAAAAAATTTTGAGCAGTATCTAAGCAATATTTTTCTTTTTTTTTCGAGTCAACATCTGAATTTTTAATTTATTTTTTTTCTCAGAAAAATTTCACATTTTAAATAGAAGTTACAGTAATTCTTTATGATAATCACAAAATAAAAACAATCAAAATCCCCACATGTTAAAGTAGCAAAGTAAATATCACAAATATTTATTTCTAGGGTACTTTAAGTGATTAATGATACAATAACTGGTTCAGTATTTGTTTTACAACAAACACTATGGAAGGCAGGGAAACTGACTGTGTTGTTCAGCCCAGGATCTAGCACTGTGTCAGGTCCATGGACAAAGGACACAGAAACTCCAAGCTAGAGGAGGTTTCCAGGGAGAGCTGGACCTTAACTACAGACATGTAGGCATGTAGTGAATAGAGTAGATATTTCCAAGTGGAGGAAACAGCACAGACGAAGAGAAATCGTGGCGAGAATGTAATAACAGTAAAAAACAAACAAGCAAAGAAAACTCCGCTTGGTTGAAGGCGTGTAAAGAGTAGCAGGATAGGTGTGAAGGTGTTTAGTAGATCATGGTTTCTTAAATTGAGGAATATTTTTCAAAGTGTGGTTACTGAGGCCATCTCAGCATCACCCAGAAACTTACTAGGAATGCAAACTTGTTTCACGGAATTGCTGGGTGGAGCCCAGATAACTGAGTTTTAACAAGCTTTCCAGGCTATTTGATACAGACAGCACGGAGGAACGTTGTGCGAGAGACAAAGACTCCTTGAGCTCTGACTTACTGTCGCAGCCTCACCTGCAAGGGGGACCTAGTGAATTCATGCTGTGAGCTCTCTCAGGTCTCACCTGCCACTCTGCCTCTCCTGCCAAGGCCAACTGTGCTGCCTGAAATGATTGTGACGATTACAATTAAGCCCAAAGTCAACAAGTCACCATTTACTGCTTTTTGCTGGTTTGCTTCTAATATTCTCTCCTTTGGGTAAAGAAGGCTGGGGAAGGGCCATTTTAGCTGTGGTTCCCCCCTGCACAGCCGGAGCCCGGGGGCAGGGGACGCTGATTGACTGAGCACTGACTAACTCAATTAATTGTCATGGTCAGAGGCAGCTGCAGCCCAGAAAAATTCAATTTGAGGCTGGGAGCCTTGCTTAGCATCGTCCCCTAAAAAATTAGATTTAGAGCTTTTTATTGCATGCTGAGCTATATCAGGGCCTTATCGGCTTCCCCTCTGGCCCCATATGTCTCTCCTCCCTGCAGTGACAGAACGGTTTGCACGTAGCCTTCTCTGTCCCTGGCCTCAGGCTTCCTGGAAAGGGCCAGCACCTCCTCTTTAAGCTCAGATGAGTCACAAGGACATCTCTCCATGGAGCAGAGGAAGCTGGGGCCTCTGTCCTGGGCCCAGAGCTCTCCACTGGGGTACAGAGCCCAGCACCTTCCCTAGGTGAGAGCCACAGAACAACGTATTCCATAAGCTCCTTTTTAGAGGTGAAAAGATAGCAAAAAAAGTAACGTGGGGGACTTCCGGTCAAGATGGCAGCGTAGGTAAAGGCGGTATCGCGTCCTCCCACAACCACATCAAAGTTACAACTAAACTACAGAACAACCATCATTCAAAACCGCCTGAAATCAAGCTGAATGGAAGTCCTACAACTACGGAATTAAAGCAGCAGCCACATCCAGACTGGTAGGAGGGGCGGAGGCGCGAGGGGCGGGGCAGCGGGGGCAGTGGCGCAACGGGCTGGTCCCACACCCACGTGTGGCGGATAAAAATCAGGAGGCTCCTGAGGCTGGGAAGGTCCTTCCTGAGGACTGAGGGGTCCCCGTCCCACACCAGGTGTCCCGCTCAGGGTTCCAGTGCCAGGAAGAGAATCCCCATAACTTCTGGCTGGAAAACCAGCGGGAACTGAGGCTCAGGGAAGCTGAAGCGGCTGGAGCCCCAGGCAGCTCCTTAAAGGGCCCGCGCACGGACTTCTCGGACTCTCTCCCTCTAAGCTTGGAGGGGAGGCAGCTCGAGGGGCTCCAGAGACATACAGGGAAGAACTGAGCTGTTTGGCACTGGAGCGAGGGCTGGAGAGGGGGCTTTCTCCGGGACAAACGTGCTGTAAGAGGCCTTTGTTCCTTTGGTGAGCCCTGCCCTGGGGCGGCAGACAGCCGCCATATCTGAGACTCCAGCAACCTGGCTCACACTGGTAGCCCCGCCCTGGTGACTCCCTGAGGCCCCGCCCCACCCCATCCAACTTTGAAGCCCAACCAAGCTGTTGCCACTTGCTTAACCATAGGATTGGCCTGTCTTGGATCCTGCTTCAGGTTTTTCCTAAATTCTTTCAAACGAGCAGCATCTGGTCTCAGCGAGCCCCATACCTCTCATTACGTAATACACTGAAACAAACACAGGGAGGCAGCCAAAATGAGGAGACAAAGAAACAGGTCCCAAATGAAAGAACAGAACCAAACCCCAATAAAAGAACTAAACGAAATGGAGATAAGTAACCTAACAGATGCTGAGTTCAAAATACTGCTTATAAGGATGATCAATGAACTTGGTGAGAACCTCAGTGAACTCAGGGAGGGCCTCAAGAGCATAAAAAAAGGACCAATTAGAAATCATGGATGCACAGTTAGAATTGAAGGAGGCATTAACTGAAATAAAGAATAATTTACACAGCTTCAATAATAGAGTATATAAATCCAAGGAGCAAACCATCAATTTGGAATATAAGGAAGCAAAAAATGCCCAATCAGAACAGCAAAAAGAAAAAAGAATGCCAAAAAATGAGGATAGTGTAAGGAGCCTCTGGGACAACTTCAAGCGTGCCAACATTCACATCTTGGGGGTGCCAGAAGGAGAAGAGTGAGAACAAGAAATCAAAAACCTGTTTGAAACAATAATGGCAGAAAACTTCCCTAACTTGGTGAAGGAAACAGACATACACGTCCAGGAAGCACAGAGAGTCCCAAACAAGATGAACCCCAAGAGGCCCACACCAAGACACATCATCATCAAAATGCAGAAGGTTCAAGACAAAGAGAGAATCTTAAAAGCAGCAAGAGAAAGGCAGCTAGTTACCTACAAGGGAGTTCCCATTAGGCTGTCAGCTGATTTCTCAAAAGAAACTTTGCAGGCCAGAAGGGAGTGGCAAGAAATATTCAGAGTGATGAAAAGCAAGAACCTACAACCAAGATTACTCTATCCTGAAAAGCTGTCATTTGGAATCGATGGCCCTATAAAGACTTTCCCAGACAAGAAAAAGTTAAAGGAGTTCATCACCACCAAACCGTTATTATATGAAATGATGAAGGGTCTTTTTGAAGAAAAAGATAAAATATGTGAACAAACAAAATGGCAATGAATACATATCTATCAACAATGGAATCTACAAACAAAATGAACAGGTAGAACAGAAACATTCTCATAGATACAGAGAACATTTTGTTGGTTGCCAGTTGGGAGGGGGGTTGGGGGAATGGGTGAAAAAGGTGAAGAGATTAAGAAGTACAAATTCATTGCTAGACTGACAAACCTCAAAGGGAAAGGGGTTGGGGGGGTGGGGGGGAAGAAATAAACCAAAGTACTTATATGCATAACCAATGGACACAGACAATAGTGTGGGAAAAGGCGGGAGGGGAGCGGGGGTGGGGAGGAGGGGGTCAATGGGGGAAAAATGTGGAACATCTGTAATACATTTTACATCCAACAATAAAGATGTGGAAAAATAAATAAGTAACATGGTGGAAGGGGAGTTGAAGAGAGAAAATGTGGACTGTAATGGTGGTGCATATTAATATTCTACAGGTGCAAGACTGCCATTTATTCCTCAAATTACTCTTTGCTCTATTTTTTTTTTTTTTTTTTTGGTATGTGCCCCTAGCAGGAACCGAACTCAGGACTCTCTGGTCTGCAGGCTGACACTCCAACTGCTGAGCCAAACCGGCCAAGGCTCAAATTACTCTTTGAACCAGATAGTATTCTTATGCCTGTTTTAGAGATGAGAATATTAGAAGCAAACCAGCATCAGGCAGTGACTGGTGATTGTTGATTCTGGGCTCAATTGCAGTCGTCACAATTGTTTCTATTAGAGATGCTCAGGAAGTCTCTGTGATCCGCACAGTTTGCATAGGCAATCAATAGAAGTGAAAACCTAGGTCTTCTGACTAGAGGTAATTAATGGTTCTACCACACAGGAAGTTGCTACTCTATAGCCCTGTAATCCCTCCCAGCCTGTCCTTCTTGGGCTGCTTCTTAGAGGAACTACCTACCCAATCAGGCTAGATTCACAGGTGTGAATGGGCAGGTAATTCTATGAAAGAAGCACATTATCTGTAACCCTTAAGACCCGGTTCTAGGGATGCTTCTCTATTATCTGAGAAAGGACCCATAGCACACACCTCTGCAGAAGCCTGAGTTGGAGACCAAGGTCACTCACCCAGCTGCCAGTCAGGGGAGCACATGGTTTGCATCATCCAGATGGGCAGTGTGGGCTCCAGCATGGCCACTCCCATGTTGGCAAAGCAGAGGGAGCCTGGGGGGGACAGTTCTGTGAGCCGCCATGGCCACCCTGAAGCCCAGACTCTCCCAGCCCAACGTGGGTATTGTCAGCTTACCTGCAGCCACCAGGATATAAGGGTCTTTGAGAAGTGTGAGGAGTGGAGTCCCCTTGGTACTCTGAGAACATGGACAACAAAAACTTCCATTTGTATAGTATATAAATCTCTGTTTTCACAGAATCTGAGAATGTACAGACCTGGAGTTAGCACAGACCCCACAGGTCAGGGCTCAATTCCACAAGGCCGCCCCAACTTCAGATGCCAATCACAAGTAGTGGGTTCCCAGGTTACCCACACTTTGGTCTGGCTTGGCTACAAATTCAAGATATTTAGAACAAACTTTCTCATGTTTTTTGCATTTTTTATCTTTCTTCCTTCATGGTTTGATACAGATTTCCCAGAGCCATCTTTGGCTTAGAGTCAGACAAATACCAACTCCGATGTTTAACTGTGACAAAATGAGAACTGGTAAGGATGCTCTTGGGGGAGAGGTTGTCTGGGTGGCCTGTAAGGTCTTCTCTAGCCCTGGGATGTTATAACTATGAATACTCAGGTCCCAAAATCGTCGTCTCCTTCCTGGTTCTGAATATATGTGTGTTTGTGTGTGTGTATGGAAAATAACACAATAATTAATAAATAATACAAGAATAAACTGTTTCGTGTGCTTACAACTGTAAACCTACTTTTGCCCCACACTGTGTATTAAATATATATATATTAAACTCATGACTGTATATATGTGTATATATAAACTTAGCACATGACTATGTATATATTCATGCACAGATACTGCTTAACAATGAGGTTACATTCTGAGAAACGCAACTGGGCAATTTTGTCTTTGTGCAGACATCACAGTGTGCACTCACACAAACCTGGACGGCATAGCCTACTGCACACCTCGGGTATACAGTACAGCCCATTGCTCCTGGGCTGCAAGCCTGCACAGCATGTTACTGTACAAAATCAAGCACAAAAGAAAATGATGCAAACACGAAACACAGTAAACACGAGATGGATGAGGCCACTGCTGGTGCACCACTGCACACTGTTATACAACAAATTCTTTTTTTATAAGTAGAAAGAGTACATTCTAAAATAATGATAAAAAGTATAGTATAGTAAATACCTAAACCAGTAACATAGTTGTTTATTATCAATATCATAATGTACTACACATAATTGTATGTACTATACTTTTATACAACTGGCAGCCCAGTAGGTGTATTTATACCACAAACACATGAGTGATACATGGCGCTACAACATTATGGTGGCTATGGCATTAGAACAGCTACAATGTTATTAGGTGATAGGAATTTTTCAGCTCCATTATAATCTTATGGGACCACCATTGTATATGCCGTCTGTTGTTGACCAAAACCACTGTTATGTAGTACATGGCTGTGTGTGTGTGTGTGTGTGTGTGTGTGTGTGTGTGTGTGTGTACATACACTCTATAAGGTTTTTTTGATTCTTCATAAGACCCTTCCCCCACCTTTGTCCAACATCAAGCCAGACTCCTATACCATCCCCTGCACTGCCCTAAGTATGACCCTATGATTCCCTATCTGGGAATCAAAGTACAATTCTCACTTCTCTGACTCCATTCCCTTCCCCTTTCTTCTCATGGTATGACAGAAATGATCTAGAGATGCTGGGTCACTGCCCTTAGCCATCCTACATACCTCTTGGCAATGGAGCTTGGTGTCTACTTACCTCAGGAGAGAATTTGGAAGGCTGTAAAATGCAAAACTGGAGTGCTAAGAAAGAAAGAGGGAGAGAGACAGTTCAGTTTATCCACGGATTAATTGGAGGCTTCATTAATAGCCACACTGCTATCACCCTATCATATATAGATCTAATTCCTTAAGTTTTTTATTCTTTTCTAGGATGGCATAGTCTTCAATCCATCCAAGCACGTCCAGACAGACATCACAGCACAAGGCATTCCCAACCTGACAGGGGCTAGTACCCACCTGATGGCCTCTGGTGCTGGCTTACCTCCGTCCAGCAGTGCCAGGAAGGCCAGGATGAGGAAGGGTGCAGACTTCCCAACAAACTCATACATCACACTTCCGAAGGGAGCTCCCACTGGAAAGGCAAAGCAGGCACAGGTTCCAGAGTGGGGCCAGTTCCCAGCCAGTGTGACTTGTCTACATGGACACAGTGAGTTTACTGAAGGCCTGCGTGGGGCTGAGCTTCACGTGAGGTTCTGGGGGTTAGAGATGAAGACCTGGTTCCAAGGTCTTTACATTTTAGTGGGGAAATGAGCACGGTGGAGGTGGGGCGAACAATTAGAACATGGTAAAAAGGGAAGTTCAGCAGTAAAGGTTCCATCTACAAAGTGCTGTGTAAGCACAGTGGAGTGCAAGAGGCCACAAGGGCTTTGTCAGGTAGAGAACACTGGCGGGGAAGAATCACATGTGAAGAACACAGAGGTGTCAGAAAAGAGAGTGTAGTTGGAGAAGAAACAGAAGAAAGTCAGTTGTACTAGAATATGGGTATTTGGGAGAGAAGGAGTAGAGGTGGGGAAGGTTGAAGTCAAATAGTTAAGGGCCCCGTATATCCAGATAAAGCATCTACTTGACCTTGAAGGCGAGGGAGACACATGAGTGCTTTTCAGCAGGGGAGAAATACCACCAGCTCTGGGCATAGAGAGTTTCTTTGGGAGCACTTTGGAGGGAGGAGAGACTGTGCAAGAGATCAGGCAGGAGGCTGGTGCCATATTCCAACTGAGGCGTGATGAGGAGCTGACCTTGAGGAAGCGGTTGTAGAGAGTACAGTGGGCATCTTCATTTGGGAGTGAGAAGAGAGAAAGGAGGCGGCTGCAGCAGTTTTAGCTTGAGTGTGTGGGTAGGTGGGTACTGACAGAGCAGAGGTTTTGTTCCATTTCTTCCTTGTGGTGGCAGAGGGTGGGGTATGAACCAGGGAAGAGACTTTTAGTGTTTTCTCCCCAATTAGCTTGCAAGACCCTACAGGGAAAGAACCATATCTGAGGCCTCTTACCTATATCCCCTCTGTGCCAGCATTGTGCTTGGCATGTAATAAGTGCTCAGAAAAAGTATATGGCTTGTTGGACTAATCAATTTATAAGAGGATGCGTCTCAAAGAAAGGACAGCCTATGGTTTAAAGCTTGGGATTCAAGCCCAGGAAATATGCATCTGCATCCTGGCTCTGGCATTCCTGGCTGTGCAACCTTGGATGGCTACCTAACCTTTCCTGTTCTCATCTCTATCGAGGGACACTCATTCCTCCTTAGAGGAAGGTGCTTAGAATCAAAGGAGATTGTGTCTGCAGTGCATTTAGTACAACACCTGACCAAGAGCACGTTCTCACAGCTGGCCATGTGTGGAAGCAGAGGTGAGGCAGCGGCTGCTAACGTGGGAAGATTTGCTCCCTTCACTAGACTCTGTCTCTGGACCATTTCCAGGCCCATGAGGGCTATTCAGCTTCATAAGGAGAAAGAAATTTCACCTTTCCTGGGCAAAATTTCAGAAAGACTCAAATCACGATTGGACAGAGAAAGAAGGAAAATACTGTCCTCCATGACCTTAGGAACACCTGCCTTCTGGAGCCATTTCCGGAGAGTCTGCAGTACCTGACCCTTAGAACCTAGACCTGGGGTCAGAAGCCACTTACCCAGCACTCCCAAAGCCAGGCCCCCCAAGGCGATTCCCATGGCATGGCCTCTCTCACAATCATCAGTGTAGACACTTGCCAGCATCCCAAGACCTGAGGAGGTGACAGATGGAGTTAGCATGCAGCGGCTGTCTGCCTCTCTCACAGGGTTCCTGGCCTTCGCCCTTTTATATCTCCAGGGATCATCTTAGTTAAAGTTTCGCCTTGAGGGGTTTTGCAAGGTATAACCCATAGTATTTTACAAACAATTCCCCACTCGTGCCCCAAATGCCCACATCGCTAATTCCTCTTGTTCAGTACATGCTGGAAATCGAGTCTCTGGGAAGGTGACACAGAGCACCATCATCCCAGGACACTGTATTTCAGGTCACTTTGTCATTTCCTAGCACATTTCTCTGGATGAAGAGATACAGACTAGGTCAAGGAAGAGAAAACCTATGAGCACGGCGCACCGCTCTACGCAGTGGGGGTGCCGAGGAGAAGCAAAGCACCGAGGGCCTGGAGGAGGGCGTGGCTGGGCCCTCCTGCCCATTCGCTCACCTGTAAAACGGCAGAGGATTACATTTAACAAACTGTGCTGGTGTTACTGGTACTATTAACATTACTCTTCCTATAAAACGGTAAGAGGGGACAAAGAAAAGACCACAGAGTGGCATTACGTGAAAGTCTGGCGTCATGGTTTTACCTCGGGCTTGCTCTGACCAGAGCTAGCTGCAGCTAAACATTATCAGAGGAGGTAACGTCAGCCCGAGGAATTAATAGACACTTTCAGCAACTCTATAATGATCTTGTTTTTGAATCACAGTCTCTGCCTTCTAGGTTGTTGTCTTTAATGTTTTCATATGAATCATATAATAGGGTCTGACAGTAGTAAGAGATGGCAAATGAGGTGGTGTGTGTATGTGTAAGATGTCAGTGTTACCTGCTACAGATGAAAACGAAGATCCAATGCCTTGAAGGGTCCGAGCCACAAAAAGCAGGGTGTAGGTACCAGAAAAAGCAAACACTGAGCAAAGAGAAGAGCAACAACGCTACAGTTAACATATTGCCTCTGTTCCCTGGCCACCAGGAGACACGCCAGATATATTACCGAGATGAGCCACTGTGCACGTTTTTTTTTGTTTTTTTCATTTATTAATTTGTTTTTGTTACAGATGTTTCTCATTTTTCGCCCAGCTATGCATATGTTTTAATAAAAACTGCTCCCTGTTTTTGGAATTGTCTTTCTAATCTCCCACCCTGAATCAGGATTGCATTTTAATTAGTATGAAGACTAAGAAACCACAGAAGCATAAACTGATTCACCACATGGAAGACAGAAAGCTGGCTGGATTTCCAAATTTTCTTGCCCAGAGCCCAACATCCAACATTTTGCCCACTGGAATTGGGGCTGTTTCAGAAGCCCAGTGCCTTGGGCTGGGAACTTGCCCTTAGCTCCTACTTCTGGATCCTCCAGATGTAACATCTAGATTTGACCTTTGCCATTGTTGGGCCCCACTGGGTCATCTGAAGGATGGGAATAAAAAGCTATGTGTACTTGAAGGACCACAGGCATTGGGTAGATATCACAGTAATATCTTGCTATCCAATCAGATCTTTCTCCTTACCTCATACTGGAAGATCTTTTAGCCAAATCAAATCAGTGAGTATTAACTAAGCAATACGTACTGAGCATGCAACTGTGCTAGACTCTTAGATGTGAAACAGACATTCAGTTCATGCTCTTGAAGAGATTCAGTCTACTAGAGACTAACATACACAAAACTGAGAACCAAACAGAAATACGGTATAAAAAAACTAAATTACAGGGTGTTGGTGGTAGGGCTGGTAGGTGCAGACATGTCTCACCTCCAGTTCCAGTGCAAAGCCCCGGAATACTCCCTCCAAGAGTGTCTGTATCAGCAGAATTCAAATCCCTTTGCCCATTCATTACAGATGTCTTTGCTTGTTTGATGTCTTAAAATCTCTCACTCCTTCCAGACATGATCACACTGTCTCTCAAACATGCATATGCTTGGTCTCTCCTTGCGTGGCCTCCAGTGCCCTTACCCAGGCCTTCTGATTTCCAATCTGCTCAAGGTTGGTTCTCCCTATATCTTTTACCAACTCATCCTGGGGCTTTCTTGGTTTTAAAACCAAAAGACTCCTATCATGGGAGACCCCTCGATCCCAGGCAAAGTAGGATGGTTGGTCACCCTACTTAGGACAAGCAAAGCGGTTTCTTTTTTACTTTGTATCCCTAACATAGGCCACCATTTAGCTCCTAATTATATTAAGTACGGTTCCCAATTGGGGGCCCTTAGGTGTGTAATAGGCTGCAGCAACCTCTTTTCAGTATTTCAAAAACCCTAACTGAATGCTACACAGAAGAAGCTAAACACCAAACATTTGCAAGAATCAGGTCTCAAGTAAAGCAACACTGGTTATGTTATGCAAACAATAACTACTGTGCAATACACACAGTTTGGTAGAAAGAAAAGCTTTCAAAACACAAGCTCTTAGCAGAGAATCAGGCCAGGACCTTATGCTAAAGACTGTGGGATCCTCTAGCATCATTTTATTCTGCAGGGTGTTTGTCGGGTCTCCCCAGGCAAGTATTGAAATTGAGGGTCCTTACCACTTTGATTAAATTTAGCTTTAAATCCTAGCTCTAGAAATCATCTCCCCCACTCCCTCTCTTTCCCTTGGATAATCAGCAACCCCCCGAGGCAGCAGAAGACTATGACCCAGACCTGACTAATGATCACAAGGTCCAGACTCAGGCAAGCTAAAGATAACATGTTGACCTAAGTTATGTTTTGGCTTCTGAGCCCTAAGGTGGAAAGTCCCTCTGGCTACTTTCCCATGAAACCAGACAGAGGGACACTGGAACAGACCTCAGAGCTGTCCTCAAGACCTGAAGAAATGATTTATTACCCTTACCTCACTTCTAACCAACCAGCTCCCAGCATGACCTTAAGCACCTTAACCCAGTGTCTTGTGATTTTTCCCTATAGAACTATAACCTACACACCATCAGAGAGTTTGGGCCTTTGAGCATTAGCTTCCCGTTCTCCTGGGTGATGTCATTCATAATAAAATAGCCAATCTTCTCCACTACAGTTCTCAGTGTTTAGGTTTGGCTCTGCTCGTGCTGGTGGACATACTCTTTCTGTTTTGTAACAGCATCATAAAGTCCTGGGGAACTGGAAACACGTCTTTGTTTTTTCCCCCCTTTATTGATTTTAGAGATAGAGGAAGGGAGAGGCAGAGAGAGATAGAAACATCGATGAGAGAGAACAGCGATTGGCCACCTCCTGCCTACCCCCTCTAGGGATCAGGCCCACAACCTGGGCATGTGTCCTGACCGGGAGTTGAACTGGTGACCTTCTGGTGCATGGGTTGACACTTAACCGCTGAGCCACACCAGCTGGACTGAAACATGTCTTTTTATACTTCACATTCCTTCAGTGGCTTTTGCCATCAAGGCATAATACGTATGCTCCATAAAGTTTTGTGGAATGAATTATGTCTCACTTGATTAAACAAAGCAAATTATTCATTTTAAATTTGCTGTTTAGCTTAGGCTAAGCCTCTAGAAGTTCAAAAAACATTTCTAACTTGAAAAGTTAGAACGGTCTTAAGTAAGCTGCAGTTCCGAGACAGAACTGCATCCAGCTCCCGCACTTTGCAGCCTTCCGGCCTTGAATGAGACAAACTCCTGTTAAGCACTGGTTGACAGGAGTCAAGCCCTGTGCTGGAAGGGAAGAACACCTGAGGAGAAGCAATAGAAAAGGCAGACAAGTAACAGAAAGGTGGTAAGAAAAGCAGGAGGGATAAGGAGGTCTGCGATTCAGGTCAGCGCGTCGGCAGAGGCACCGGCAGTGGGTCCACAGGCTGTCTTCCCTGCACTGACCCCACCCAGTTCATTCCTGATCATTTTACTTCTCAGGATCAATTTCCAGACATTTTTTTTTTTTACTTACTGTTCTTATTCTATCTCCATTTTATTAGAAACATTTATCAAATACTGGATAGGCTATTTGTTTCTCTTTCTTGTTTCTTTAGCAAATTTATTTCCCTAAATTAGAACACTTCCTAACTTTTAGCGTTCTTACTTGAAGGTTCTTGTTTGATTTAGATTCTTTGTTAGTTGTCTTTTACCTTTGCATATCAAAATAATATGATCTCTTCCCCAAGATGCAAAGTTTATATTGAACTCGCTCAAAGGATCACTGATACACACACACTAGCATACACATTAAAATAGCCTTCAGAGGAACAAAAAATGGTGGCGGAGTGAACGGAAGCTACACAGACTGTCTCCCAGAACCAAACTGGAATTACAACTATAACACAGACAAATTGACGGGAAAAAGCAACAGAAAAGCAGCTTGCGAGGACCATACAACGAGGGACACTGACTCCATCCTGGAGAGGGAGCCACAAACAGCAGAACACCAACACCCAAGGGAAAACTTGACAGGCTCCAAAGCCCACAGTGATAGCCAAAATGGTGAAACACAGAAACAGAAGCCAAATGAAAGAGCAAGAGACCTCCACCGAAGATAAGATCAATGTGGAGCAATTAGGCAGGTTAACAAAGCTAGAATTCAGAGCCATGATCTTGAGGAAGCTGAACAGCATGAGTAAGGACATAGAGACACTGAAAATAAGCCAATTGGAAATTAAAAACCATCAAGAAGAGATAAAAAATGACATATCAGAAATGAAAAACACATTGGAAGGTTTAAAAAGCAGAGTAGAGGAAGCTGAGGACCGGATCAGTGAATTAGAAGACAGGGTAGAAAAAATCAACCAATCAGAAAAACAAAAGGAAAAAACTATTAAAAAACAGGAAGACAGCTTAAGAGAACGGTGGGAAAACTGGAAACGGAATAATATTCGCATCATAGGAGTCCCCGAAGAAGAAGATAATAGCAAGGGATAGAGAATATATTTAAAAAAATAGTGACAGAAAACTTCCCTGATTTGGTGAAGGAAGAAGGCATTCAAGTTCAAGAAGCACAAAGAGTCCCAAGTAAGAAGAACCCAAACAGGCCCACACCAAGACACATAGTAATTAAAATGCCACAAATTAAAGACAAAGAGAGAATCCTAAAAGCAGCAAGAGATAAGCAACAGGTTACCTACAAAGGAAACCCCATAAGGCTCTCAATTGACTTCTCACAAGAAACACTACAGGCTAGAAGGGAATGGCATGAAGTAATCAAGGTCATGAAAAACAAGAATCTGAATCCAAGACTAATCTACCCAGCAAGGCTATCATTCAAAATAGAAGGTCAAATAAAGAGCTTCCCAGACAAAAAAAGGCTAAGGGAATACATTAGCACTAAACCAGCAGTGCAAGAAATGTTAAAAGGACTGCTGTAATTAGCAGTAGAAATGGGAAGAAAAATAGAACCACACTAAACAAAAATGGCAATAAATAAATACATATCAATAATCACCTTAAATGTAAATAGATTGAATGCTCCCATAAAAAGACACAGAGTAGCTGATTGGATAAGAAAGCATGACTCACATATATGTTGTTTACAAGAGACCCACCTCACAACAAAAGACTCACATAGGTTGAAAGTGAAGGGATGGAAAAAAATTTTCCAAGCAAATGGAAAGCAAAAAAAAGCTGGGGTAGCAATTCTCATATCTGATAAAATAGATTTCAAAATGAAGACCATAACTAGAGACAAAGACGGCCACTACATAATAATGAAAGGATCTATCCAACAGGAAAATATAACCTTGATAAACATATATGCACCCAATATAGGAGCACCAAAATATATTAAAAATCTTCTGGAGAACTTCCAAGGAGAAATCAACAACAATACAATCATAGCAGGGGACTTCAACACCCCGTTGACAGCACTGGATAGATCCTCTAGGCAAAAAATTAGCAAGGAAACAGAGACTCTAAATGAAGCACTAGACCAAATGGATTGAATAGATATCTACAGAGAATTACACCCCAAAACTACAGAATACACATTCTTCTCAAGTGCACATGGGACATTCTCAAAGATAGACCACATGATAGGACACAAACTAAATCTCTACAAGTTCAAGAATATTGAAATCATATCAAGCATCTTCTCAGATCACAATGGCATGAAACTACAAATCAATTGCAACAAGAACATGCAAAGACATTTCAACACATGGAGGCTAAATAGCATGTTATTAAACAATGAATGGGTCACCAACGAGATCAAGGAAGAAATTAAAAACTTCCTGGAAACCAATGAAAATGAACACACAACAACACAAAATCTATGGGATGCAGCAAAAGCAGTTCTGAGAGGGAAGTTCATAGCACTACAGGGCTATCTCAAAAAACAAGAAAAATTTCTAATTGACTGTCTAACCACACAACTTAAAGAATTAGAAAGCAAACAAAAAGAAAACCCCAGAGCAAGTAGAAGGAAGGAAATAGTAAAGATCAGAGCAGAAATAAATGACATAGAGACCAAAAAAAAACAACAACAATTCAAAGGATCAATGAAACAAAGAGCTGGTTTTTCAAAAAGATAAACAAGATTGATGGACCCTTAGCTAGACTCACCAAGAAACAAAGAGAGAGAACCCAAATACACAAAATCAGAAATGAAAGAGGAGAAGTAACAGCCAACACCACGAAATACAAAAGATTGTTAACAACTACTATGAACAACTATATGGCAACAAATTCGACAATCTAAGCGAAATGGACAAATTTCTAGAAACACACAGTCTCCCAAAACTGGACTGGGAAGAGATAGAAAACTTGAACAGACCAATAACAACTAAGGAAATTGAAGAGGTAATCAAGACTCTCCCAGCAAACAGAACCCCAAGCCCAGATGGCTTCACGGGGGAGTTTTACCGAACATTCAAAAAAGAACTAACACCCATTCTCCTCAAACTATTTCAAAAAATTCAAGAAGAAGGAAGACTTCCAAACACGTTCTATGAGGCCAGCATAATTCTAATTCCAAAACCAGAAAAAGACACTACGAAGAAAGAAAACTACAGGCCAATATCCCTGATGAACAGAGATGCCAAAATCCTGAACAAAATATTAGCAAATCGGATCCAGAAATACATCAAAAAAAAATTATTCACCATGACCAAGTGGGATTCATTCCAGGGATGCAAGGCTGGTACAATATTCGCAAATCAATAAATGTGATACACCATATATATAAGATGAAGAATAAAAACCACATCATCATATCAATAGATGCTGAAAAAGCATTTGACAAAATCCAGCATCCATTTCTGATAAAAACGCTCAGCAATGTGGGAATAGAAGGATCATATCTAGACATAATAAAGGCCATATATGAAAGACCTACAGCCAACATCATACCCAATGGACAAAAACTAAAAACATTTCCATTAAGAACAGAAACAAGACAGGGATGTCCACTTTCGCCACTCTTATTTAACATTGTACTGGAAGTCTTAGCCACAGCAATCAGACATGGAGAAAAAATAAAAGGGATCCAAATTGGAAAGGAAGAAGTGAAACTATCATTATTTGCAGATGACATGATATTATACATAGAAAACCCTAAAGACTAAATCAAAAGTCTACTAGACTTAATAAATGAATTTGGCAAAGTAGCAGGATACAAAATTAATATCAAGAAATCGACGGCATTCTTGTACACCAATGATGAACTCACAGAAAGAGAAACTGAAAAAACAATCCCATTTACCATCATGCCAAAAAAATTAAGATTACTAGGAATAAACTTAACCAAAGAAGTAAAGGACCTATTTGCAGAAAACTACAGGTCATTGAAAAAAGAAATAGAGGAAGATATAAAAAAGTGGAAGCACATTCCCTGTTCATGGATTGGAAGAATTAACATCATTAAAATGTCCATACTACCCAAAGCAATCTATAGATTCAATGCAATCCCCATCAAAATACCAACAACATATTTCATAGAACTAGAACAAATACTTCAAAAGTTCATATGGAACCAAAATAGACCCCCAATAGCCACAGCAATCTTGAAAAAGAAGGACAAAGTAGGAGGGATCACAATACCAGATATCAGGTTATACTACAAAGCGATGGTAACCAAAACAGCCTGGTACTGGCACAAGAACAGGCATATAGACCAGTGGAACAGAACTGAAAACCCAGAAATGCACCCAAGGCTATACGCTCAATTAATATTTGACAAAGGTGGCAAGAGCATACAGTGGAGTAAAGACAGTCTCTTTAATAAATGGTGTTGGGAAAATTGGACAGCTACATGCAAAAAAATGAAACTAGACCATCAACTTACACTATACACAAAAACAAACTCAAAATGGATAAAAGACTTAAATGTGACCCGTGAATCCATAAAAATTCTAGAAGAAAATGTAGGCAACAAAATTTTGGACATCATACGGAGCAGAATTTTCACTGATACATCACCTAAGGCAACAGAAATAAAGGAGAAAATGAACACATGGAACTACATCAAACTAAAAAGCTTCTGCACAGCAAAAGAAACAATCATCAAATGGAAAGGCAACCCACTGTATGGAAGAACATCATTGCCAATGATGTATCAGATAAGGGGTTAATTTCCAATATATAGAGAGTGCTCATACAACTCAACAAAAGGAAGACAAAGAACCCAATTAAAAAATGGGCAGAGGAGCTGAATAGACACCTCTCCAAACAGGACATACAAATGGCCAAGAGACATATGATGAAAAGCTCAACATCACTAATCATCAGAGAGATGCAAATTAAAACAACAATGAGGTATCACCTCACACCTGTCAGAATGGCCGCCATCAACAAATTATCAAACAACAAGTGTTGGCGAGGGTGTGGAGAAAAGGGGACTCTAATACACTGCTGGTGGGAATGCAGACTGGTGCAGCCACTATGGAAAACAATATGGTGTTACCTCAAAAAATTAAAAATTGAACTTCCACTTGACCCAGTGATCCCGCTGCTAGGAATATACCCTAAGAAGCCTGAAACACCAATCAGGAAGAATATATGTACCCCCATGTTCATAGCAGCACTATTTACAATAGCTAAGATCTGGAAACAGCCCCAATGTCCATCAGTAGACGAATGGATAAAAAAGCAGTGGTACATATACACAATGGAGTACTATGCAGCGGTTAGAAAGAAAGATCTCTTATCCTTTGAGATGACATGGAGAGACCTGGAAAGTATTATCCTAAGTGAAATAAGCGAAGCAGAAAAAGACAAATACCACATGATCTCACTTATATACGAAATATAATGAACATAACAGTCTGAGGAATACGGTAGACCCAGAAACATGGAAGTAGGGCACAGACTGACATCCCTCAGAAGAGGGGGTGGGGGTGGTGGGAAGAGATAAACCACAGAACTTATATGCATGTATGCATGACCAATGGACATGGACAACTAAGCTGGGGACGGGTTGGGGGTGGGGTGGGGAGAGGGGTGCCAATGGGGTAAAAAAGGTAAAATATCTGTAACAAAAAAATAAAAATAAAATAGCCTTCACAATTTTCTCCAGCTTGAGAAAGTGAAGTATATGTTTTTCTATAGCGGAAGATACAAATTCCAACTAGACTGAGTTGACATTATTGCTCTAGTCCCCATAAAAACATTGCAAAGCATTTAAATCCATATCATAGGCCACTTGGCCAGCTCAACCTTGCTCTCTTCACTGTGGTGCATGCGATAAAAATCAAAGGTAATCAGTGAAGGGAAGAAAAGAGGAAGCAAATTACTTACTAATTGTGGAGAGAAACATGATAACAAAGCCAGCAAACATGGGAATGTGATATCCAATCCTAAAAGAGAATTAAACACAAAGATACAGTTCCAATAGGCATCCATGTACTTGGACTATATATTTTCATGTAATTAGGAAGAGAAATTCAGTTCTTTGAGTCCATGGTAAAACATGTCTCTGAGTGCAGGTGTAGAGAATGGATATGACATGTGAATGCATATAAGCAAATAAACAAACATGAAAAATTACCCATAGACCAGGGCCAAAATCTTCTTTTCTAGAAAGGCTAGCCCAGTCACAGCATATACCCCTTTGAAAAATCAGAATAATTCCAAACACAACTGCTAAGAAGCCAGTGCCTATTCCATTCCCATCCTTAGCCTATGGGAGCCGGGTTCCAGGGCACTAAAATAGCCTCAGTGGTATATACTTCCCTTCACTGATTCTCTTCTTAGTACTCTAGTCAGTATATCACTAAGAAAATCTGCAGCCCCTGGTATTTCATCAATTTCATGCTATCCTTTGGGGTAACTAGCTTTTCTAACAGCTGACTGTCCTGGGATGCAGACGAGAGTGCTTCCTTCCTTTTTCCCTTCTAACCACCTTTAGGATACCTTAGCCCATTCTCTTATTCCTGAGCACCACGGAGATACCTGTTGGTGAGAGGCCCCACAAATGGGTTGACCAGAAGTTGCATCAGAGCCTTTGAAGCAAACAGAACCCCGACTCGTACGTTCTCTTCCTCCAAGAACTCCGTGTGTTGCAGGCAGTTGTTTCTATGGGATGAGATGGCTCCCGTGACTGGAGGGGGGACGGTGCCAGAAGTGCCATTCGTCCAGGCCGTGCCTCTGGGCGCACTTTCTTCAACAGCCACAGTGTTGTTATCAAAGAAGGAGAAGATGGTGGCAAGGGTAGGAGAAGGGGGGGCGTGCCGGGAAGCTGCGGCAGTGCTGGGGTGCCGAGAAGTGTTGGCGTCTTTCAGTTCTGTGGCATACAAGAAGGTCGGCACAATGGGCACTGAAAGTCAAAAAAGACAGTGTCTTTTTACCACTAGTAGGTGCAGGATCATTGCTATAGGTTCAGTTTCATGCTCAAGGCAGGTGTCTACGTGACATGATTTGAAGCCCACTAAAGGATTGTGCCCATCCACATTATACTATTAAAGTACCTAAACCCAACCGTCATACAGTTGGTCCTCATTATTCATAGATTCCATATAGGCTATTCTGCTTACTGGCTAATATTTATTTGTAATCACAAAGTCAATACTCACGGAGCTGTCATCGTTTTTCTTGGACATACACGCAGAGAGCGGGGACAATTCTGAGTCCCCAGCTGCTCCGTTTCCCAGCTGAGGCTGAACTAGGCGGGCTCCGCCCTTTTATTTCTCCCCTCATGCAGAGGTGGCAGAGCAGGGGACAGGAAGAGCAGGCCAGCACCGGGCAAGCAGCTGCAGCTCCGGCCAGGCGGACAGAGCTTGCACCCCAACTCTGGCACCTGTGCGTGAGGTGGCCTCAGACAGGGCACTCAACACTCCGAACCTTTGTTTCTCTTTTGTAAAGATAATAGAAAGCAGACTCATAGATACAGAGAACAAACTGATGGTTGCCAGATGGGAGGGGGTTGGAGGGTTGGTGAAAAAGGTGAAGGGATTCAGTACATATTGGTAGTTACACAATAGTCATGGGGATGTAAGTAGAGCATGGGAAATAGAGTCAATAATATTGGAATAAACATGCAAATGCCAGGTGACTAGATTTACAGGGGGATCACTTTGTAAGTTATATAAATGTCTAATCACTGCGGTGTACATTTGAAATTAATATAATATTGAACATCAACTGTAACTGAAGAATTAAAAAAGTTAAAAAAATAAAAATTACCAGGATGTGTGTTTTAGAATTTAAGATGATAATCTATATGGGTTGTGTATGTATTCATCTTCCCTAGGAGCAATGATTCAGTATTGGCTAAATTCAGGGTTTGCAGCAACTTTAGAGAGCATAGCAAGAAATGACTATATTGGATTGACAACTTGCCTGAGAAAGCTTCTTGCTTCTAAGCACATATTTTATCTAAGAGGGGCAATATGTTAGCACCCATTTAGACACGGGCATAACCGAATGTAAAGGTGAACAGACCACCAACTAAAAGAAGCAGGACTCCGAGGGAATGAACCGCCAGAAAGGCAGGGCTTGGTACAAAGCTGCATGTCCACCTGAGCATGTCACTGTGGCAGAGCAGCGGCTGGGACGTGCTCTCCGTCCCAGCGGTCCCGTGGAGTCATCAGCACCTTGGAAGACAGCATGGGGAGGAAAGAATGCCCGTTCTGGCTCCAGTCAGCCTCTCTTCGGGCCAGAGACCGCCTGCAGCTCCCTGTGGTGGAGCCTCTGGAGATTTCAGCAATGGCTGGCGAGCGCCAGACCTCATTCCCTGCTGTCTCTTCCCGTTCCCTGCAACCTCTGTGCCATTTCCAGCATAAAAGGGAACATTCTCGAGTCCATTCACTGCTGAAAGCTAGAGGGGTGTGTGTTGCCGGGCCCAGAGAAAATCACCCCGACACAAAGACCCCAGACGTACCCACCACAGTAAACAGCATGTTGTCCAGGAGCAGAGCCACAAACACCACCACCAGTACCAGCTTCCGGGACCCTCTCCCCTCCTGCAGCCAATGCTGAGGGGCCTCCCACACCGCCCTGAGCATGCTGAGGACTGGGCTGGGGCGTCTTCTCCTCCAGGTTCTTAAGGAAGGTCCTGGTACACCTACAGGTCTCCAGCCGCCTTTACAGAAGATGAAGAAGGTCTGCCCAGACCAGTGAAACTCACTATTAAAATAAAAAATAGAGTTGCAGGTAATACAATGGTATTTGCAAACTTTTCCATGCCTGTCTCTTCACTTTTTTTTTTTTATCCTCACCTGAGGACATTTTTCCATTTTTCGTTCGATAGAGTGGGAGGGATAGAGAAGGAGAGAGAAAGAGAGAGAAACATCGACGTGAAAGGGACACATCGAGTGTCTGCCTCCCACACGACCCAACCAGGGCCAGGGCCAAACTGCAACCGCGGTACATGCCCTTAGCGAGAACCGAACCCAGGTCTCTCAGGACCGCAGGCCGACGCTCTACCTGCTGAGCAAAACCAGCCAAGGCTTCACTTTTTTTTTAAATCCTCACCCAAGGATATTTTTCCATTTATCTTCAGATAGAGTGGGAGGGAGAGAGAAAGAGAAACATTGATGACTGGTTGCCTCCCACACAACCCTGACCAGGGCCGGGACCGAACTGCAGCCAAGGTATGTGCCCTTGACCGGAATTGAACCCATGACTCTTTGGTCCACAGGCCGACACTCTAACCACTGAGCCAAATCAATCAGGGCTTTTTTTTTAAACCTTCACCTGAGGATATGTTTATTGATTGTTAGAGAGAAGCTGGGGGGTTGGGTAGAGAAAGAGAAACATCTGTGTGGGAGAGAAACATTGATTGGTTACCTTCTTTACATGCCCCGACTGGGGATCAAACCCAAATCAGTATATGCCCTGACTCGGAACCAAACCCACCACCTTTTGGTGTGTGGGACAACGCTCCAACCAACTGAGCCACTGGGCCAGGGCTCTGTTCACTTCTTACACAGCTTAGTACCGCCACCTGGTTCCCAGAATGCCTGCCAAGTCAGCACTGCTTACCAGTTTTCAGACTGGAATTCTATCTAGCATACGATGAGGATTCTGGAGATCATCTAGCTGTTTCTCAAATGGCAGACATCTGCCTATCATCTCGATGGTTATGTCGTATCTGAGGACTGCTTACACTATTATTGACTTAATCTTTTCCTCTAAATCCATTTGAAATGACGAACTGAAAACTTGTTTTAAAAAATAACTTTATGTGCCATGCCAAAAACAAATCATGGTCTGTGTCTATGTATCACACAAAGATATCTCATTTGCCACAAGGAGACCAGGCTGCCTACTGAGAAACATGGACCTAGACCAACCCTTTTGTCTCACAGATGAGAAATTGGAGACTCGAGGTTGGAAGATCTGTCTCAGGTCACACAATTAGTGTCAAACTGGATGAAATCCCAAGCTTTTTAACTTGCAGGATTGTACCTCCACCTCTCCTTGCTCCGTGGTACTAGAAGCACTCCTATGATTTTGTTTAAGCTATAAATCCCTGCTCAGAAAGGTGTGGTACTCCGTGTAAATAAAATATTAATGTTTATGATTAGATTTCTACTTAGAATGTCATGTCATTAGTCAGCATTAAGTCACAGTATTTTGTTAAACTTCCGGTAATATCAGTTCCTGGGAATTTTTTTATTTTCTTTTATATGGCTTCTGTTACAGTATCAGCAATACCAACTGGATGAATTTTAAAGTAGATCACTGCCATGAAATGCATCGGGCTCTGAAATCATATATCCTTTGCTTTGGTAACTGTTTCTAAGAATATATCCCAGGGAAATGATCAGAAGTGCAGTCCAAGATTTAGGTTTTAAATTATAAATTGTTGAATTATTTATATAATATAAATGAAACATTTTAATGATGAAATATAAACAGCTCTTATAATCATGTTTTCAAACAATTTCAATGACTTAGAGAATACTCTTAATATGCTATTACGTTTTTAAAAGGATATTAAACTGTATATACCACTTGACCTCAATTATATAAGAAATTTATTTGCACATTTTTAAAAGACTAAAACGATACATACCCAAATGTCAACAATTATAATCGATACTTAAATTATCTTCTTCCTTTTCTGAAATTTCTAAATGTTTTATTAAGAACTATTTTCATAATGCAAGAAGTAATGTTAAATGTTTATCACTGGAGTTCAGCCTTAAGTGTTAGAAATAGTAACCCAAGTACTGAGCTACTCTGTTCTGTTCTAACACCGGACTAGGAGAAGATTATTCACATGACAAGTCTATAGAACCAAGAGGTTCCCCACTTTGTTTTAACTAGGAAATGCTTGCAATCATTTAAGATCCTCTATAAATAAGACATTTCTAAATAAAACTTTAGTTAGAATACATAAGGAAGGAATAGGCTAAAAGGAAAGCAAAAGAAAACTAAAAGATGTAAAATGGCTTAAAATAGGTACTCGAAAGATAGACCGGAAAACACCAACAGACCAAACCAAAGCAGGAATTTGCTAACTAATCAGTAGTAAACTTTACTTTAGAATCAAATTTCTTTATTGAGAGACACATATTACAAGGAAGGATTAAATTTGTCCAGAGAAACTACTTACCTTAGAGCCTATCCTATGTGAGGTTCTCAATGAGATATTGGCAGCTGTTAGCAGCTGAGCGGGGACTCTGTTTTCTGAAAGAGGATGTGCTGATGGATTTATTGCCACCTGTTATCTGAGGAAGCCGTGCGTGCCCTTTGTCCACAAAAATTTAATTGGAACCGCCAGAAGGTTTTCTTCAGACTCCTAGCTCCCTGCGTCAGAGGCAGGAAAGCAGGGCTGGAGAGAATAGAGGGAGAGGAGAAATTATCCTAAGCAAAGATGCACTGGGCCGCACTGGTTTTCATCTGTGCTTATCTATCATCAACCTCTTTAACTCTTGCCTGAGTCTGAACACAAACTGGAGGACAAAATAGAACCAGAGTGCAGTTCTTGTCCACTGCTTAGTCAAAGAGGCTCCCATGTCCCCAATTGCTTTCTGGAAAGAAACAAATCTTAGAACACCCACAGGACCAAATATATATATATGATATATATAATCTATGCATGTTGTTCTCAAGCCAACATCTATGGCCTCTGTAAAGTCATGGATTGGGCACTAGCACCCCAGTACTAGCCCAATGTCTGGCCTACAGTAGCCTCCAGTAAACATGTCTTGGATGGACGACTAGATGGATGGCTACAAGGCAGTATGGCTCATTGTGGGATCTGAGAATGGCACTAGGTCTATATTTTTCTGATATTGAGAGTAAGTGGGGCAAAGACCGTAAACAATTTACAAAAGAGCAAATACAACTAATGAGCAAGAGAAGCAGCCGAGGTTTCCTAACTGTGGAACTGGTGGGATCCTCCCAATTGTATGAATTAACTTAGAAACTTTCAATTTAAAGCTAACAAAGATGGAAAGACCTTTTAAAAAAACCTGGAAAGAGAAATAGGGGGAGGAGGCAAGAACATTAGGAGAGAGTATGAGTTTCCTGTGGCTGCTATAACAATGACCACAAACTTAATGGCTTAAAAGAACACAGATTTATTATCTTTGAGTTCTCAAGGTCTTATTGGGCTAAAAATCAAGGTGTTGGCAGAGATGCAATTCTTCTGGAGATTCTAGGATAGCATCTATTTCCTTGCCTTTTCCAGCTTCTGGAGGTTGCCTGCATTAACTCCCTCCACCCCCCTTTCTCTGACTCTCAGCCTGTTGTCTCCCTCCTTCACTTACAACAATTGATGGAATTACATTGGGTCCATCCAGATATTGCAAGATAAAATCCCCATCTCAAGATCCTGAACTTAATCAGATCTGAAAACTATTTTTTACAAAGTAAATTAACACATTCACAGGTTCCAAGATTAGGACGTGACCATTTGCAGGGGAGTTGGGGTGGGGGTAGTCATTGTTCTGTCTATAGTAGGGAGCATCGAATACCAGCCCCTTTACACACATGTGGCCTGAGTCTCTGGAGAGAGGGGATTAGGAACAAAAGATGGAGGAGCTGTATTAATATTAACAAAATCACCAGACTCTGGGCACAATGCAGAGTCCAGGTGACCCTTCTGCCACCATGCTCTCCATCCTAAGTGCAGTTTTGTTACTTTGAGGGCTTAGGGCAGCCACCAGCAAGGTAAAACAGTCTAGTAGAGAACACCGGCAGCTAAGGGTTTAGGTAGAGCACCTCCACAGGGAAGAAAAGGCTCTTCTGAGATATCACCAAACTGGGAATGCTCCAAATAATTGTAAAACCATGCTTTGGGGGGAGCTGAGGGTCTGAGAGAGCAGGTATAAGCTGAGAATCATCAGACTTTGGGCATTAATAGAAACAACAGCAACAGTAATTACAGTCATCATTTACTGAGCACCTACCACATGTCAGGCATGTTTCTAATATATACATACATTATGCATCATATATATTTCAGTCTACTGTAACCATGCTAGTATTCACAGGCTAGCCAAGCCTGGGGTGTTCTCACAAATGCCCATCACTATTAATAATCAGAATGATGTCTACAAAACAGAAATGAGCTCTTATCTTCCTCCTAATTTTTTAATGTAAAAACTAACAAACAACAACAACAACAAAAACAATGAAGCAGGTGGGAGTATGGTGAAATGGGACTTTGTAGACGCTATCAGTAGCTATGCAAGTAGATATAACTCTATTAGAAAGCATTTGGTTTTCTATCTTTTGTCTTTTTAAAAAATTTACCTTTATTATTGAAAGTATCACAGATGTCCCCCCTTTTCCCCTAGTGAGCCCCTCCTCCCTGCTCCCACCCCCTTTCTGCCTTCCCCACATTACTGTCTGTGTCCATTGGTTATACATATATGCATACAAATTCTTTGGTTTATCTCTTCCTGCTCTTCCCCCCCACCACCACCACTTCCCTCTGAGGTTCATCAGTCTAACAACCAATTTGTACTTCTTTTTTTTTTAATCCTCACCAGAGGACATTTTTCAACACTTTGTTGAGATAGAGTGGGAGGAAGAGAAAGAGAGAGAAACATCGATGTGAAAGGGACACATCGAGCGGCTGCCACCCACACGATCCAACCAGGGCCGGGGACAAACTGCAACCGAGGCACATGCCCTTAGCGGGAACCGAACCCGGGTTTCTCCGGACCACAGGCTGATGATCTAACCGCTGAGCCAAACCGGCCAGGGCCAATTTGTACTTCTTAATCCCTTCACCTTTTTAGTCCATCTCTCCAACATCACCCCCCTTCACAATCTGGCAACCATCTAAAAGTTCTCCCTGTTGCTCGGCTGGTGTGGCTCAGTGGTTGAGCGTCAATCCATGCACCAAGAGGTCGCTGGTTTGATTCAGTCAGTGCACATGCCTACGTTGTGAGCCAAATCCCCAGATGGGGGCATGCAGGAGGCAGCCAACTGATGTTCTCTCTCATCAATGTTTCTATCTCTCTCTCCCTCTTCCTTTCTCTCTCTCTAAAATCAATAAAGAAAAAAAAATTATTTTAAGTTCTCTGTGTCTATAAGTCTACTTCTGTTCCGCTTATTCAATTGGTTTGTAGATTCAATTATTGACAGATATGTATTTATTGCCTTTTTATTGTTCATATTTTTTATCTTCTTTTTCGAGAAGACCCTTCAACATTTCATATAATACTGATCTGGTGGTGTTAAACTCGTTTAGCTTTTTCTTGTCTGGAAAAGTCTTTATATGTCATCCATTGATTCTAAATGATAGCTTTGCAGGATAGAGTAATCTTGGTTATAGGTCTTTGATTTTCATATCTTTGAATATTTCTTGCCATTCCCTTTTGGCCTGCAAAGTTTCTTTGGAGAAATTGGCTGACAATCTTGTGGGAGCTCCCTTGTAGGTAACTAACTGCTTTTAAGACTCTTTGTCTTTAACCTTTTGCATGTTGTTGATGATGTGTCTTGGTGTGGGCCTCTTTGGGTTCATCTTGTTCGGGACTCTCTGTGCTTCCTGGAATTGTATGTCTGTTTCCTTCACCAAGTTAGGAAAGTTTTCTGTCATTATTTTTTCCAAATAGGTTTTCAATTTCTTGTTCTCTCTCTTCTCCTTTCAGCATCCCACATGTGAATGTTGGTACGCCTGAAGTGGTCCCAGAGGCTCCTTATACTGTCCTCATTTTTTTTCTTTTTGCTGTTCTGATTGGGTGTTTTTTGCTTCTTTATATTCCAACTCGATGGTTTGAATCTTTTTCATCTACTCTACTGTTGATACTCTGTAAATTATTCTTTATTTCAGTTAGTTTATTCTTCATTTCTGACTTGTCCTTTATTATGCTCATGAGGTCCTCAATAAGTTCCTTAAACATCCTCATAACCAGTGTTTTGAACTCTGCATCTGTTGGATTACTTACTTCTTTTGTTTAGTTCTTTTCCTGGAGTTTTGTTCTGTCCTTTCATTTGGGACATGTTTCTTTGTCTCCTCATTTTGGCTGTCTCCCTATGTTTGTTTCTATGCATTAGGTAGAGTTGCTACATCTCCTAGGCTTGGTAGGGTGACTTATTGTTGTAGGTATCCTGTAGGATCCAATGGCACAGCCTCCCTGATCACCCCAGCTGGGCCCTCGAGGTGCACCCTCATGTGGGCTGTATACCCTTCTGTTGTAATTGAGTCTTGATTGTTGCTGGCATATCAATGGAAAGGATTTACTCAGGCTGATTAGCTGCAAGAACTGGCTATGCCTACTGATGGACCTCTGACCACCTTGGAGAATTAGCTGTGCAGGGCCTACCACAAGACTTCCTTCAGCAGGGCTCTTGTACCCACTGAGTCTACCCCTTGAGTGCGTCATGGAGATGATTGGGTCGTGGTGCTTTGAAGTAGTCTGAAGCTATCCACTAGGTGTGTTGGCTCGAAGGCCTCTTAGAAGGTACAGGCTAAGGTCAGCCACTGTCTGTGTTCGACCTGGGGCCACCAGGCATAAGCTACAAAGTGATCTGTCAGTGGCTGCTTCTTGTGCTGGGCTTGGAGATGCCCAGGAGAGGCCAAACTATGAACCAAGGCTGGTTGCTGCTAATGCCAGGCCTGGGGTCACTTAGCAAGAGGTGTGGGGCTCACTGAGGCCAGATGTTGCTTGTTTGAGAGATTTTAGGAAAATCTGAAGCAGGAGCCAAGATAGGTCAATCCTATGGTAAAGCCATTAGAAACAGCTTGGGTGGGCCCAAAAGTTGGGTGGGGCAGGGCATCAGGGAATCACCAGGGTGGGGCAAACAGTGTGAGCCAGGTTACTAGAGTCCCAGATATGGTGTTTGTCTGTGGCCCTGTGGGGGAAGGGCTCACCAAAGGAAAAATAGTCTCTGCCAGCACATCTGTACAGGAGAAAGTTGCCCCTCCATATCTCGCCTCAATGCCAAACAACTCAGTTCTTCCCATATCTCTGATGCCTTTCAAGCTGCCTCCCCCACGCTGGAGCCCAGAGAGAACGAGTGCAAGTAATTCTGTGCACAGGCCCTTTAAGAGGAGCTGCCTGGGGCTCTAGAAGCCTCAGCCTCCCTCAGCCTCGGTTCCCACTGGTTTGTACAGCCAGAAGTTATGGGGACTTCTCTTCCTGGCACTGCAATCCTGAGCTGGGGGCCATAGTTTGGGACAGGGACCCCTCACTCCTCAGGGAAGACCTTCACAGCTGAGGTATCCTCCTGATTTTTATCCACCAAACGTGGGTGTGGGACCAGCTCTCCAGTGCCTCCGCCCCT